GCGTGTCAAACACAGCTCTCACTCCCAGGGTGCCCCCCGGGGAGGTGTGCCCAGCCCCTGCTCTGCACCCTGTGCACACAGCTCCAACACCGTCGTTACAGTTGCAGACGACACCACCATCAGACCCGTCTGCTTACAGAGCAGAGGCGAGAGCCCTGACATGGTGCTCAGCATCAGACCCGGGAGCTGACTGCAGACTGCAGGGTGGGGACAGCTCTGAGGAGGGCGGTCAGCACAGCGTGGTCAGGTCTGACCCCACCTTACACCCTTCACAGGAGCAACCACACCCACAGCTGCAGCGACAGTTTCTACCCACAAGCCATCAGGACACCGCTCCAATATCTGACAGCTGATCTCCCACAGTCACACCGCAACCCTGCACTACAACCACGAAAGTGTCATCACCAATCTGTGTTTATTCTTCTTACTCATCGATATTTTCTTATTTAAATACTTATTTTATTTGTGCCTTTCTGTGACGGTGATGACGTGTGGTTGATGTGACAAAGAAAGCTTCATTCAGAGTAGTTTGGTTCTAATTTTGATTTTAATATTTGTTTGCAAACATCAGCTGTCGTCTACACTCGCAGGGCGTCTTTCCTCCTGCTGTTGCTTTCACAGACACTGAGACGCTCACCAGACCGTCACACGGCGGCAACGGTCCAGAGAAAACCTGGATTAATATGAGACGAGCAACTTCCTGCTTCCCGTCTGAGCCGCCTCCTCGCGTCCACTAATCCGCTAACGCGCTGCTGCGTGCTTTAAGGGGAGAAAGGAATAAAAGTTAAAGTCAGGTAACCCGAGCTCACCTGAGAGCCGGCCGGGCAGGAGCAGAGGGGGGAGAGGTTTACTATCCATGTCCTGAACTTGCTCGTTGTGCTTAAAGCAAATCTGACACGTACGAGCTGCAGCGAGTGCAAAGGTGTGTCACCTGCAGCGCTGCTTCGACTCAAAGATCTAAAACACTGAGTCTGTATTGACATCAAATGTCCAGGTTTGTCCTCTGAACATACCTGGATCCAGATAAGCAGCACTTCTCAGCTGGACCTCTCTAAGCTCCGCCCCTGAGAAAACGATGGTGATATGACCACGGAGATGACGCTTTCATCGATAATAATAATAATCGAAGAGACCACAGCACAGGTGGGAAACTTGCATCTTCCTGCAGAGGATTGGCCGTCCCGAGCAGGAACACCTGAGCTTTGAGGAGGCAGGTGTGCAGGGGGTTAGCAGGCTTAGAGACCACAGTAAGCCAATTCAACACAGACTGACGGAGTAGACTTAAATATACGGGGAACCATCTGCCCACACAGCTCGCCGCTCTGATGAGCTGTAACCACACACCTGACGCATGCAGCGCTCCTCTCTCCACAACATGCAGCCCACTTCCACTCCTGAGAGTAAACGCCAGAGTCAAAGCAAAGAGTGGTGCGTCCTGCACACGTGCGACCCCGCACTGATACTTTCAAACTTCCTGCACATACAGCCAGTTCACAGCCTGTATATAAACGATGGAGGCCGCCTCCCTGTTGTCATCCATTGGTCCGCAATTTTAGCATTTTGGTCTCGGCCATCTTGGTTTAATGGAGTGACCATGGCTGTGTCCCAATTAAGAGACCGCACGCTTGAAGTACGCGCACTACGCGTACTACG